CTGAAAAGCAAATGATGGAAACAACCAGGAGAGCCGGGCGCTGGCTGGGAGCTGGGGACCTTCAGGAGTGTTCTTGGCTGTAAAATGCTAATTCTTGACCTTCTGCAGCATCTCTGGCCTCCCAGCAAGCCATATTGCCCAATTCTTAGTAGGGGACAATTTTCTCTCTTTTTTTTTTTTTTTTGGTGTGTGTGTGTGTTTAAGTGATGGCAAGATGAGCAGACTTGTGCTCCTGCCTCTTCCCCAGGGCCCTCCTGGGCTTTCCTTGGAGATCTGCTTTGCTTGGAGGGAGATTTTCTCCCCCCGGGTGTCCCAGCCAGGGGCTCGGTGCCAGCCCGGTGGCACCCGGAGCGCAGCCTTAGTGCCTTATCAAGAGGAACTGCAGCTTCGAGCTGCAATTTATTTAAATATATGTTATATAAATAATATTAAAAACATTTTGATACATTTTATATATAGCGAATATATGGATCTTTTTGAGTACAGGTAGTATCAAAGAATTTGCTAGCTTGGCCTGCTCAGTGCAAGGAGACCAGATGAGGAGGAATCTCCTTTAAAGGACACACCTGGTGCATATTCCCCACCGGGGACAAGTCAGACCAGGGAGGGGTTTCGTGTTCCGCTTCCATGGAAAAACAAGCAGTGTGGAAGACGGGATTTGGTTTTGCTATGTGCTGTGCTGGAGGATGATGGCCCCCTGCTATTGCTCTTCTGGGAGGATTCAACAGTTGCATCCTTTGCTCTGAAAACCATCAAGTGTAACTAAAAAGCTGAGAGGAAACCTCTGCTTTGCCTCCAACCACTGCCCCAAAGTGCCTCTGCGAGCCTGGGAATGCAAGGTGGGGATACGGAATGGGGTTAGCTGCACGGCTTTCTTACCAGGTTTGCTTGATTTTGCAAGGGGGAAAGATAGAAAATGTGCAAAACAAGCTTGCCAGAGTCATCCATGTACTTACTCCAGCATCTGTAGGATCCTGTGTGTAGTAATTCCTTTAAATGTCATGGTGATGAAAAGCTGGGCAGAGCGTCCGCTGTCCTGCGGACTGAACGAGGCTGTTGGAGGAGCTCTGGGGTTACCGTGCCGAGAGGCTTCCCGGAGCTGGAGGCTTCAGCTCCCGATCCCTGTTATCCCAATCCAAGTCTCAGCGTAGCAGGGTCTAGCTGGGGGCCACGCCGTAAGCTCCAGAGGGAAAGAAAATCCGGGGTTTTATTTTGCACGCAGATGAAGGTCGGATCTTGGCCCTTCTGCCCTGAGGATGGCCCATCTACAGTAAGGGATATCCCAAACTAACAAGGAAAATACACTGTTTATGTAGCACCAGAGCCTTGTATACTATTACTAGTAAGTCATAAGCTCACCGAGCGTCTGCCAAGTGACATTACTGCCTCTGCAGAAGGGAGTTTAAATATCTTTCTGCAGAAGTGGAGCAGAAAAGGGCCTTTTAAAACACACATTGCTCACTAAGGCTCAGAAAAACAGAGGATTGGACATGTGGCATTTGGAGCTCCTGGGATAAAGAGGTAATCAGGCAAAGAGCTGCTGCTGTGGCCTGCGTGGAACTGCCTTAATCCTGGTGTTCCCTAACAGCAAAAGCCCTCTTTGCTTTAAAAATATATATATTTTTAAACCTGCCACTGGTGGAACAATAAAATGTGACTCTTATGGTAGAACTATGGTACTTGTTTTTGCTACAGCAGCTGGAAGCTGACGCTTGTAAGCCTTCCAGTATCCCGTCTGAGTATGACCCTCGATTATTTTGTGCTTAAGTCTCTTGCCAAAACTCAGCTTCGTTATGAAGTGCTTAAATGGTAGTTGTGTAAATGTGTGTGTGTCTGCACAGCAGTGGTCCAAGAACTGCGGTATACGTAACACTGCGTCGCAGTTATGAAACCGGTGGTAGCTCTGAGACTAACAAAATTGCAGTTCTAATTACGGTGGGCAAAGCTGGTCCAACGTGGCTGTGCACTAGCCTGAAGTGGAAGCTATGGAAATTTCAGGTTTAAAACTCCCCATCCTTCACCCTTTATCCATTCGTGCCCTGTCCTCATGGATCTCTGCAGCTGCCTGGGTGACGTTAAACGCCGCTCGCGCTGGAAGGACTCTCTGAACAAGTCGGTGTTTCAAGGAGATCAGTGTGAAAGTCAGGAATTTGCTGGGTGTTTTTGGCTTTATAAAATGTCCTCGGTGTCTCCTGTGGCGCATGCGCCTCTTGGTGCTGTCAGGAGGCAAATGGAAAAACGCTCCCTTAGTTTGTGTGAACGAAACGTGCCTGGGTCGTCCTGGTTCCTGCCGGTGCTTCCCGAGCCATGGGCGATCCCGTGAGCCGGGAAAGCTCCGTTTGCAGAGGGGGAGCCGCTCAGCGCCGACGGAAGCAGGAGGAAGCGAGCACCATTCCTGATGCTGGGAAGGAAACGTGCTCCTTCCCTTTCCTGCCCTGAGCCAGGGCAGTTCATTTCCAGGGCCCCTTCCACTGCGCCGTAGCCAGGAATTGGGCTGATTTATCCAAAGGCAGAGGTGGGTTTTGCAGTCTCAGGCCTCACTTCCAAATCCCAATCCTTGCACTGTTTTCCTGCCTTGAGGTGCTAATAAATAACCCCTTGCTGGCTTTAGCACTTCAGCCCCTGGCATAACGTGGTTGCTGTAGGGCTGAGTACACTTAATTGCTGCAAGTGGCCCTTGGTGGAAGAGCAGGAGCTGCTGAGAGCTGGGCCTGTGATTTGGGCATCTTTAGTAACCTTTCGAAATCGAGGTCTTGGATCTGTAAAGTGCACATGTGGTTGGAGTGCCTGGAGATCTGCCCTGCTTCTCAATTCGCTTTTAATAAATGCTAAAGTAAGAAGAAAGTGTGGACAGCTGGACCCAAAAAACACACAGCAGCTCCGAAAAATCAGTAACTAGCAAATAGTGACCCTGGTGAACGTTGCTGTCCCTTGGATCAGACTTAACCAGGAGTGTGCAATGCCACGTGCAGAACCAGCTTGCAGAGGTGGCTCTGTAAGTCCTGGCTTGCAGCCTTGCAAAGCGCCCGATGCTCCTTGGCACCCTGGTAGTGTTAAACCAACCACCACCCAGGCACCCAGCTCCCCTGGGCACAGCTGCTCCACGGGCCTTCCTCAGCATCCCCAACATCTCCCTGTGCAATTTGCAGCGTTAATTATTCTCGGAGACAACGAGGTGCCTGTTTGCACCGTGGCTGGAAGGTTAATCTGCAGCACAAACCCCGACCCGCTTCCCTGGGTTGGAGTCACACCAGTGCCAGCGCTTCCAAAGGCTCCCCCTTCCACAAGCGTTCCATGCCGACTCATTAAGCTTTGGTCAGGGCAGAGGTTGGACTTCGTTACCAAAGTCCGATGTAATGATTTCTCGGATTTTTTTAGGAGTAGCCAAGGCTTGTGCAAGTTTGCATGCTTTTCTATATTTGGTTTTGTTTAATTTGATTGTACAAAGTTGTTGAAAAGTCTAGCCGACGCTCCCGCTTCCTGGCCGCGTTATCATGCCGTTTCACGAGAAGTTTAAAGAAACTGCCTCTGCTTTGAATTGTGTCGAGATTTCCCAGTAAGATCTGAGATGAAGATCAAGATGGGCATTAAAATAGTTCGTTTGTCACGTTGGTCTCCTCCTGGCCGAGGTTTTGTGGGGATGGTATTCCCAATACCTGTCCTGCAGTGCGTTTCCCAGTAATTCAGGCTCTTTGGTCACGCAACTGCTGCGGTTTAATTCTTGAATTTGGCTGTGTTTGGTGCTTTTTGGCTAGTTCATTCCCGTGTTTGAACCTCAGCTCCTAAGGATGGAGGAACAAGCCATTACAATAGATGTCAAGTGACAGTTTTAATTCGGGTCAAACCAATTCCTCATGTTGGAAATCTAGGATCACAGGAGGATCTGGAGCTGAAAAGTGCAGTTTTAACCCTCGAAGTGCCATGCTCGAGTAGCATTACTCACTGAGAGCTTCTCCTGCTACAAAAGTTATAATAATCCCAGCAGAGATTTAAGGAGCTCCAGATTTAGTGGTAACCATGGCCTTTCTGCAGAGCTATTTCCCATTTCCATCGCACCAAGAGGGTGGCTCTGTCGAGGGATCAGCGCGGGAGTGAGCAGCCACTTCCCACTTAGGTCTGTGCTTGAGGACTCCCCAGAACCGAGGTGACACCGCAAGGGACACGAGCAGAGGTGGCTGTGCAGCAAACGCTCGGGATGTCCGTGCTCGCAGTTACTTGTGGTTACCGGGTTCTTCCTCCTTCCCGGGCTGGTTTCAACATGTAACTTTTAGTCGCATTTGGAAAAAAAAATCGGTTTTGCTAGTGGAAACCAAAAGACCTGGAGAAAATAGCATCTTTACAGTTTCATTTCGGGGTGGTAAAGATGTCCTGCATTACTGTGGGGATGTGGAAAAAAACCAAGAAGAGTTAGGAAGCCTGGGAAGCTGGGCAGAATCCCTCTGGGATAAAGTGTTGGTTGTTAATGAGTCACTTGAGATGCAGTCCCAGCCTCGCCACTGTCCAGCTAAGCGATCCATGGACAAGTCGTTGCTCATCATTATTCCCCTGGTTTTTCTTCCTGCTCTTTCTCCTTGTCCGGGGGATTCCTGAGTTAATAGTGAGGGAGGGAGCCCATTCCTGGACTGGCACTGCGTGAACAGGCAGCAAAAGTGGCGCCTTTGTCCCCTGGCACTCGCAGCGCCCGCGGGCAGCGGGACGGGGCAAAGAGGCAGTGCCAACCAGCTTCCAAAGCAAGGGCTGCAGTGAACAGGGCTGAATCCATTTCCACTGAAAGCTCTTTGGGCCGTGGCTGTTTCCCAATTTTGTTTGTAGAGCACTTAGCAAAATGGGGCACTTATCTCGGAGGTGGCTTCTCTGATGCGATTCAATACAAGCCATTATTTGTGTCTGCGAGGTCGATAGTCACTTATCAATTAACACATTTGAACTTCTGCTTTTATGGCCTTTGAAGCTTAATTCTGGTGCCACTCTTAACTTTTAAAATGGCCTTTTTGTTCTAGATGTCAAGAAAGACTGGTCTGATCATGCGCTATGGTGGGAAAAGAAGAAAACTTGGCTCCTTAAAACTCACTGGACGTTGGACAAATATGGGATCCAGGCTGATGCCAAGCTCCAGTTCACACCTCAGCACAAGCTGCTTCGTCTTCAGCTTCCAAACATGAAATACGTGAAGGTGAAAGTCAACTTCTCTGACAGAGTCTTCAAAGCAGTTTCTGACATCTGCAAAACTTTCAGTGAGTATTAAATGCCCAAAGCTGCTTTCATCCAAATTCCGGCCAAATCGGTGCCGGCGTCTTTCGGGATTGCCAAACGCCTCACGCAGTGCGAAAGGTCGTTGGTTGATCTGTCTTAGCGTGCATACTTTTCTAAAGTATTATTAAGTTGTGGGTATTACCGAGCTTCAAATACTGAACATGTGATGTCACCTGGGAGTCGAGCAACCTGGCTGTCCACTTTGTGCTTAGCAAATGTATGCAGAAATGCTTACGTGGCAATACCTGACGTGCCACGGGCAGAAATGATTAAGAATTATGTTTTTCCGTAATTAATTCTTTTTCATAACAAGACCGTTCGTGGTTTGTGTTAGATAAGGCAGTAGCAGCCTTGCTCTGTTTTGCAGCTACTGGTGTTGGGTCATAATTTCCCTGCAAATTTATGTGCTAGCTGAAAAACAAACCCTGAAATAGGATATCTGCCAGATTTGTGGGTTCTTCTGTAGTGGGAAATCATTGGAGATTAAGTGGTGATGCTTCACTGTAAAACCGCCTGCTGGAGGGAAATGACAGTCTCGCTTTCCTCCCCAGACTCCCTTTACGCTGCTTTTCCTTGTCAAGGAAAAGGCACAGGAGAGAGGGGGGATCATTCGCTACTGGACACGCAGGGCTTGTCCTAGGGTGCTGCTTTTGTGCTTCTTTATTATTTTATTTTAAAATCGGAGACATGGATTCTGCTAATTCTGCTCAGAAGGGCGAGCTGCAAGACCTGGCTGCTTACAAACGCCCAGCGCGCGCTCCGTGCCCGTGTCCTGCGGCCGCCGCTTCCCGGCTGCTCCTGCCTGTTTTCCTTTGCTCAAGGGCAGCCGCGTTCCCAAAGGGAATGGCCCGCGGAGCGCCGCCTTCCCACCCGGAGCTGCAACTTGAGCCTTGTCGTGGCAGATCTATTTCTGCTCCCAAAAAGCTGATACGGTCACTCTTGGCTGACCCAGTTATTTCATTAAGCAGGAAGTGCTCAGCTATAAGTGAACTGTTATGACACGGCCCCCAGCACATCCGTGGTTAACTTTGTGTGTATATAGCTGGGTAAGAATCTCAGTTTCTTACTTTGCTCTTTTTTTTTTCCCTTTTCTTTTTGATAGATAGTTGCAGATTTCTACGTAAAATAGAAAAGGTGATTCAAAATAGAAAAGGCTTAGCCAGGGCTATTTCAGGGGAGATTTTTGCTTCCCCTTCTCCCCTGCTTTCCATTATGATTTTTAATACCTTGCTAGATGGAGAAGGCTTGAGCACCTGCTTAGCTGCTAACGAATCTTTATGGCAGTGAGTCACATAAGGAAATTCTGGTACAGTTAATCACGTAGCAGGAGGCCTTTTACTGATGATGCAGAATGCTCAGAACCTTAAATGGGCCTAAAACGGTTATTTATTTAACTGCAGGACTTTCAATATATTTATGAACAAACCAGAAAAATACTGCTGATATTGGAAGAGGTGGAATGGGAAAAATCTCTTCATCCAGATATCCCACTCAGCTGCAGTAGGACTCTTTGCAGTGAGAAGTGGCCTCTCTGTTGAGGGTGTTTGCTTTTTCTCCCATGACTTCTGAAGTGTTGGAATAAAAGTATCTGATTCTGGGGAAGGAGGGAAAGGAGTTTCAGCCCTCAGTGACTCTTAGGAGTCACTGAGCTCAGTGCTCAGGACACTGAGCTGTTACTGATGGATGGGAGCTACAGGGCTAAATACAGTGATTAAATGTTGCTTAGCCCTTGTCTTTGTGCTTCCTGGAAGCCAGATGTTCAGCAGATCTGGGGGAATTGGCCACGTTCAGCCTCAACTTGAGGGAGAAGAGGCTAGTGCGAATTCCAGAGGGGGATGCGAGGTTGGAGCCGGCCGCTCCGTCCTGCCGCGCCTGACAGAGGAAATAAGGTTTTCCCAGCCTGCTTGTTTCCCTTTTTGTTTTTATCTTCCTCCAGGTTAGTGTTAATGCTAAATGTGACATTTTTCTCCATTCCCTGCCCGCCTGCACGTGCAGGTTGGCTGCAGAGAGCACCCGTGCGCCGCAGCGAACCTCCCTGTTGCCTGCCCGAGGTAAACTGAGTAGATATTTCCAGGTAAAGGCAGAAAGAAGTTGTGCCCCTAGTCTTACAGCACAGCTCTTTCTCTCCTGGTTTAAGAAATCGAGGCCGTGATGGTCCAGTGTCATCTGAACCAGTGTCTGGGAGGCAGAACCGTGTTTTCCGACTGCTTTGTTTTGGCTATAACTCTTTGCTGTCCTTGTCCCCGGAGCGTTTAGTTACACACAGTAATTCTTACATATGACCTGACTAGTAGGTAGCTGTAAGGAATACCTGGTGTTGCTGGAGCTCCAGCAGGTCACATTTACAGAATGTGCGAGCAGGATCACACTTGGGGAAGCTCTCCCATTGCTCCGTGCAGTGAAAGCCCCACCTGGGATAGCTGTAGTGGAGCGAGGATGCTCCGTTGGGGCTGTTCTTGGACAGGGAGTCCTGGGGAAAGGTGCATCTCCTGTCGGGGGGTGGTAAATCCAGTGCCACGGCGCCAGACGGAGGTTTTGCAGCAGTTTTGGCCCTGCAATTTCTGTTTCTTGGTTTTGCATCTGACACAGCAGAGGATCAGTCGCTGCCCGGCAGTGAACGCGGTAAAGCTGGAGCAGCAGGTCCTGCTTGCAGGAGGCTGGTCCCTGCTGTGGCCCTCACAGCTGGGTACCCGTGGCCACGCAGCTGTACCCTAAACACACGGTGACACGTGGATCTCTGCTGATTAAAACAACAGCACAAGCAGCAGGCGGCGGAGCGAGCGCAGCAGGACGGGGCAGGGGAAGCCAACGGGGCCGGCGGATGGGACCCGCAGCCTTGTCCATGCAGTGACCACAGCTGCTGTTGGGGCTAGTGCTGCGACGGCGTCTCGGCGAGTCCTGGGCCGGGTTTCCCTGCGGAGCCCCAAAACGGGATGGTCCTGCTGCAGGGTCGAGCCGACACGGGATAAAAGGCTCTGCCTTTGCCTGGGGCTCCTGCGGAAGGTTCCCGCTGGCAGCGTGCCCGCGGAACAGCTGCCTGGCAAGCGGCGGAGCCCTCGGAGGCCAGCTTTGATCTTCAATTAAAGACCCGAGAAAGAGAAAGTAAAACTTCGCTTTTTGGATTTGGGATTTTTTTTCGTTTTCCTCGTGGTG